TTACCACATCTTTGTTAAAGTGCGGAGCCCAGAACTGGACACAGTACTCCAGCTGCAGTCTCACCAATGCTGAGAAGAGCCAAGTAGAGTAGGAGAATCACTTCTTTGCAATGGTTGTGGTTGAGATGAATCAGTAGATGCATGCCAGCGTATTGTTAGCCCTGCTGGCTACAGCATCACACTGCTGGCTCATGTTCATACTGTGGTCAATTATTACCCCCAGGTCTGTGGTGGTAAGTGATGAGGGATCTTCAGTCCTGCTGCCTGATGAAAGGCAGCAGTCACACAAGCACCCATGTCATGAGTTTTGCCTGCCAGCAGCCAGAGGTGCAGGGCCCCAGAACCCCTGTACCTATCTCCTCGACAGCTGGCGGGCTTCATGGCCTCAGCAGGGGCTAGCATGCCTGCAGCTTTCACCCTGCTGCTCCTGAACACACACAGTGTCACCCATGTCATGAGTTTTGCTTGTCTGCAGCTTGAGGTGCAGTTTCCCCCAAACCCCTGCACCTATCTCCTTGAAACTTAGCAGGCTTTGTGGCCCCAGCAGGGGGTAGCATGCTTGCAGTTTTGACCTGCTGTGGCCTAACACATACACGTGACATGAGTTTTGGTTTCAGGATTTTGGGGTATAGTTTCCCCAAACTCCCTGCACCTATCTCTTTGAAACTTAGCAGGCTTTGTGGCCTCCACAGGGGCTAGCATCCCTGCAGTTTTGACCCCACTGTGGATTAACACATATACATGACACAAGTTTGGCTCTCAAGATTTTGGGGTACAGTTTCTCCAAAGCCCCTGCACCTAACTTCTTGAAACTTGGCATGCTTTATGCCCTCAGAAGGGGATACCATTTCTCCAAGTTTTATCCAAATCTGGCCAGAAATGACAAAGTTATAGGCTGTTTCAACTTTCCCCATTATAGCCTATGGGCAAAACGGTGAAACAGCATTGAAACGGCAAAACGTTTCAACTTGCCTTGTTTTGTTTTGAGGCTGTTTCGACCACATCTGTTTTGTTTCAATTTTGCTGTTTCAACCTCGAAACAGGTCAAAGCAGCGTCCAAACAAAACTAGTGACGAAATTTTGCACAGCCCTATTTAAATCCTAGCAAAAGATATGATAGCTCAGTACATTATGTATGTGTCCATAAATAAGGTAGGCTAGATATGAACCTTATAGACTCATTAAATATAAATAATATATATAAAGAGCATAAGCTTTCGTAAATTTGAGTTCACTTCAGTCAGATGCCTAAGGGGTCTTATACATGTGCAGGGAGGTTACTTGGACATACTGTAATTACAGCACATCAGAGCAGACTTGTTTAATCAAGCCTGCTGGAGTATGGTAATTACTATGCTCCAAAAGACTCTAGTGTCATGTGTATCAGTGTCCCCATGCTGAAAAAATGGTGATGGGGCACTTTGAACTGAAGTTCATCACCCTGCTGCCATTTTTCAGCATGGGGATGCTGATACACATGATGCTCTGGGTGCTGTTAATTAGCATGGCTCTTGAAGCACTCTTCTCACTCCACTACCTCCTGAAGCATGTCTATAAACACCCTAACTTAAACATAAAATGGCTAACTACCTCTCAGTACCTACAAAAATCATAGCAAGATTTAGGAAAGTTCCCAAACCTGCATATTTGGTCCTCATTATTGATTAACAAAGGGCAGATCTAGGCTCAGTATTATGATGTAGTGAAAGCAGTTCCTGGAAACAGTAGTTTACTTAGCTTAAAATATACCCAGGTATATCTGTTGAAGACAGAGATCACCTGTTATGGATCAAATAGATGGACTTACCATAGGCCTATTAGGTATTTACTTCCAACCTTACATTCCACATACTACTACATATAATGCTGAATAATGACATGTAAGACCCTGTGATTTCCTATGTGTTGATTTCCTAACATTCAAAAAAGCTATATAATAATGTGATAAATACCAACATATTTAAGAGGGCTAACAGTCCCAATGTAGCACTATCAGGGGAACCACAAACTACATTTATAACAAGTCCTTAAATAATGTTAATGTTTTATCCCAGGTTTTCAGCTGGAGCACTGGATCACAGCATGAAAGCAATAGTACACTTGGAGTACAGACTGCATATAAGACTGCTATAAAGAGGATTATTGCTAAAAGAGAAATTTTTTGCGAGTCTGGTCAACACCTTGCAGCCGATGGCAAGACCTGTTGTACGAAGTGTCCACCAGGTAGGTATTATGTTAAGACAATCTATTAAAAGTGAAGAGCTGAGAAGAAATAGCCACCTGCAGCATTGTACCCTGCTGCATAACCTACATGATGTAGCTTTCTCTAGGATATAGGTATTTCAGAACTTAGCTGCAGCCACGTTTCCCACAATGACAGGACTACTTCAACTTAGTGATCTCATGCAGTTGGAAGTTTGGGCACTGCAAAATGGACTTTCTTGGCTGGTCTCTAGTTGTTTTTCTTTTTTATTTGGGCTCCTTTTCCTTAAGGGTATACCTGATTTGTCCAGTCTTTACTAACACCATTCCCATTATCTCTTCCAGTCCTAACTAGGCTACTCAAATCTTATAAAATGTGCTTCCTAAGCATTCACTAAGTTTATGCCAATAACTTCCCAGGTCACGTGTAAAGTGATTTTAACAGAAAAGTCCAAAGACAACTATGTGCACCAGTTTTAAGGAAGTCAGGAAGTTCATCCATGCTCTCTTACCCTCAAGACTCTCCTCCATTTGTACACATGCTTTTTCATTCAAAGTATCATTTTGCTTGATACATTTTCATTCTGTTTCTTCTAAATAAGTTTTTTTTAATTCAGTCCTGCATATGCTACATTATTAAAACACATGAATGGATACATACCCATTTAAACTGTCTGCAGCATTTAGGGAATCTTCATCTTGCCAATGTTTCTAATTAGAAAGTATTGCAAGAGTTGAACAGAAACCACATCTGTTTTTTTTCCTGGGAGCAGATATGGCAGGTCTCATTCTTTTTTTTTTTTTTAAGGTACATTCAAAGAGCATGATTGTACAACAGGCAACAATACACCAACTTGTTCACCGTGCAACAATGGAGTTAACTTCATGGATGAGCACAATTATCTTGAGAAGTGCCGAAAGTGCCAGTCATGTGACAGTGGACATGGTATGTCTATAACACAGAAACTCGAGTAATGGAAAAATATTTGGTTTTGGGCTAGATTGAAAAGTTATCACAGTGCTGAACAAAGGATAGCACATAGTTTACGATGTCCTAGGAACAGACCAGTAGGGAATTGTAATCGAAAGTTACTATTTGATACCTGAATCCCTTTATTTCTGTAAAGGGAAAAGAGGACTAAGCCACCCCAACCCTTACCAGGAGAAAGCTTATTTTCCCATTCCCAGAGGCTCAGCTACACATGCTGGCATTTTGAGAGGCAGAAGTATAGCTACGCCGTATTTGCCCACTTTGGAGGGTGTGTAGAAGCCCCACAGAAGCTGCTCTCCTTCTATGTTGAAGCTTGCAATGCAAGCAGTTTACCTTATGCCCCCACCCCTGAGTGCAGTACATGGGTATTTATCTTGAGTTACCGCAGTTTAGGTTACAGTGGAAATCTTTTAGGTATATTAAACAGCTTTAGGAAGCTAACACAAAGCAATCTGGAAACAAGGTTTTCATTTAGTATCTTTTCACAAACTTCTTATGAAAAATAATAATGCTTGGGGTAAAAGACAGTCAAAATGATTTCTGGACAGAGGCAAGTTTCGCCATAGGCTTGCTCCTCCTTATGAAATGGTATCTGAGCATTTGTAGAGAGTCCATCCAGGAGAACACAACACCTACTCTCTTCAATGTGATAGGTAGTTATAGTTACTACTCAAGCAACTTTGCAGGTCCTACTTCTCAGACACAAAAGTGCTGCATAAACAGTCTTCTTCTGAAGTGCTTCAGAACCCAGCACTTGTTTTGAAGCACTGTAGAAATTTGAGTAGTATTATCTGAGGAAATCCTGTTGCAGGTGGCTGGGGATAGGGGGCACAAGTCATATTAAAGGTAAGAATTAGTAGGTTTATTTTTTTAAAGGCTTACAAAGAGTAATTACTTAAAAGTATTGAAGATTCAAAAATCCTTCAACTCTTTGCACCTGACTGTTTATGTCCATGCAGGTGCATGAGAGAGGGAGCAAGACCCTTCTCATAATCTCTCATGCCTCTACATGAGACACAGACCCCAACATAGTATTTGATTGCCTCACTGAGCAGAAAGACAAAAGGCATTTGACATCTGCTTCTAGGAATGTCTAAAATGCTGCACCTTTGCACTTTCTGCTGCCCTGAGCTGTGACATATGCCCATGATTCATCCCTCAGCAATTGCTAAAATTGTTCTTGTTAAGTGAAGCTGAGTAAGATCTAGCTATCTGTTTTGGTTTCTAGCCCTCCTGTAGACACTTTCAAAACCCCTATAGACACTCAAAAGTCTCCACTTCTTATCTAAGTGCCTACCTGAAACCACTGCTACCTAAGGAAACAAAAGGCCACTACATTAATCTGACTCCAATAGTATGCAGGATCTTAGAACACATTTCAAAAGAAAGAATAAGGACATGAATAAGGATGTGGAAAATGAGATAAAATGCAACAAGGGTTTGCAAAGGTAAATCCTGCCAAGCTGACTTAATGTGGTAACCTTATTTGATAATGTAATGAATTTTCTAGGCAGGGGAAATGTGATAGATCTGATATAGCTGTATTTCACTGAAGTATTTAATAATATGCTACATGGAAAAGGTGAAGATTAATACATTAATTGTACAGTAGATAAGGACTCTACAAGAAAGACAACAGGTTCTAATGAAAGGGGAAGCCTTATGCTGAAAGGAGGCTACCAGTCAAATTCTTCAAGGATCGGTCTTGGAATAGATCTTACTGTTTTTTCACTAGTGGCTTTGACATAAAAGTAGGAGCTTGCTAATGAAATTTGCTGATAAAGTTGGGGGTACCATCAATGCGGGGGAGAATCATCATGCAGGAAAAACTGGATGGACCTTGAAGACTAGTCACAATTTTATAATGTTCAGTAATACAAAGTGCCAGTTTGTATCATCAAGGACTAATAACAGGATTTCTACTAAAAGCTGTGAGCTCAGTAGGTGGAAACAAAGGAGGAGAAAGATCTGGTTATATTAGACAGAGTTGACACCTATGTGATAGAGCTGTTAAAAAAGCAAATGTGATCCTTACTTGTTTTTTCTAGTGAGTTTTTTCTAGTGAGTTTTTTCTAATAAAGGAAGGGAAGTAGTAATCTTGTACTGGATGATGGAATACAGTAAGTTTATACATTTGTGGATGACAGTAAGCTCTTTGGAAGACTGGATCATGATTCAAAATAATCTTGATAGTTTCTCTAATTTATCTGAAATCAATAAGATGAAATTCATTAAAGATGAACAGTCAAAAGAACAAATACAACATGGGGGATATACACTACCTGCAGAACAGAAGAAAGAGATGAGCAAGTTACAAATGAAGTTCGACAAGGTCGAATGATTATAAACTACTGCAAGACTGTTTCAGGTTGGACATAAGGAAGAATTTCTTACTGTCCGAGCCCCCAAGGTCTGGAATAGCCTGCCATCAGAGGTGGTTCAAGCACCCACATTGAACGCCTTCAAGATAAATTTGGATGCTTATCTTGCTGGGATCCTATGACCCCAGCTGACTTCCTGCCCCTTGGGCAGGGGGCTGGACTAGAAGATCTTCTGAGGTCCCTTCCAGCCCTAATGTCTATGAAATCTATGAATGAGTCAACCTTGTGACACTGTTACAAAGAGGCAAATGTTGTATTTACAGGGATGTCATATGCAAGCCAAAGAGAAGTTGTTTTCCTCTTGGTGCTGAAGCCTCAGCTGGAGTACTTAAAAATCAATAAGAGATAACAAACCTGTTAGAAAACCACGCCCCAAACACATGCATTTGCTACATGTGCAGGGCAGAATATGCAATTGTGGGACCGGGGACCAGATCCCCATCATGTCATATTGCCAGTGTGCAGGAAGCCCAGGATCATGTAGGAAGTAGGCAGCCAGTCAGCTGATCCCGTACTCCCAGCCTTGGGAGTATATCAAAATCAAGCGCTCCCACGCACCCCCAAAGAACCCTGACTCTGATGTGCTCCCAAGGCTGGCAGCCCCAATCAGCTACCACTCCCAACCTCTGGGGCACAGTGGACTCAAAAACTACAGTGTGCCCTGGAGGCTTGGAGCACAGATCAGCTCCTACTTCCAGCCACAGGGGTGCAAAGGGCTTCAATGTACCCCTTTGTCTGGGAGCCGCAGGTGATCATGGCTCCCAGCTGCAGAGCCCTTGACTACACTGCACCCGCTGTGGCTGGGAGCAGCATGCAGCTAATCAGTGCTCTCATGCACTCCTGAGGCTGGGAGCCCTGATCAGCTGACTCCTGGCCACATGTGCAATTTAAGGCATGATGGGAACCAGCCACACTGGCCAGACAAGACAATACCAGGGAAAAGAATAGGGATTTGACATAAATTCTTTTACATCAATTCTAGAAACACGCAAAGTCAGTGGTAACACTTTTAACATCCCTGGACCTTCCATCACTGACTTCAGAGTAGCTGTTCTTAAAGGACAAAACTTTAAAAACTAGTTTGAACACAAAATTGAGGAACACAAAATCATCCAAGATAATTTGGATTCTTATCCCATTCTCTGGACCAGCTGTTAATTCCAATGTCCCTGAATGTGTTTTAACTGTCTTGTTTATCCCTGTTGATAAAATCTACCCACCTTTTTTCCTTTCAGCAATGTCCCCTCCCCTTTTTTCTTTCCAATTAAATCCTTCCTTTTTGTATCCTATTTACAGCATTTAATGTAGTAGGCTGTTGCCTACAAAAGCTCAAGGAGCTCTCTAAACATATCAGTTTCAAAGGTGCCACCCTACCCTACCTTCAGCCTGACTTCAGACTAACACAACAAACTACCTCCTTTATCTACTCCTAAAAAGTAACCTGAAGCCTACAAAATGTTTCTACAGTGCAGAAGCTAATAGAGAATCTCAAATCTTAAAGGCTAGGGACAGAAATTACATATAAAATGGTATAAATCAGGGGTTCTCAATCCCCAGGCCACGGCCCAGTTGCTGGTCCACAGTACACTCGGCTACCAGACTGGAAGTGGCCACAGACCAGCAAACTGCAGTCCCCCAGAGCCTGGCAGAGACACTGCAGCTCCTTCCACAGGGCCTGTGGCAGCACAGGGTTTACCCCTCCCACCCCTTCATCCCGCCAGGGGTGTGAGGGTATCCTTACCTGTCTTCCAGCTAGAAATTCTGGCCACGGTCAGCTGTGACCCCTGGTTAACGGTTTGCTGGGACATGGCCACTTTCGGGCCACGGTTTGCCAGGCCTCAACCTAAAAACTTTGGGAACCCCAGGTATAAGTGATTAGAAACCAGTTCAAATCTGATAACACAACAGAAGTTCAGTGTACAAAACCAGTTTAGCCATAAAAATGGTCAAAACCAGTTAAAGATAAACTTGGATGGATGTAGTATCAGACTTAACTGATTCAGCATAAATCAGTTTTTTGAACTTCTGTCCCAGATCTTCTCCAGATTCAAGTTAACTCACAATCCCCAAGGAACGCAGGATGTTTTGCACTTCCCCTGCAATCTCCGCCCTCGCACAGCGGGTGGGCTAGCTTTGCCCAAGTTTTCTGCTCCAGCTGAGCAGGAAGGCATGCTCTAGCATCCCCCAGTTTCTGGTCTGAGCCACTGCAGGTTTGTGGCAGTATTTTAGGAATCAAAAGTAAATGTGTGTTCACTTGGTCTTCAGTTCAATCGACGCAATTTGGACTAGCTTACAGAGATTGAACCAATTCAGCCTCAGGCTTTTTGACTATCTGTACTTAGCCAAAAGGTATATATATGATGGACAAAAAAGAAAAACTGCTAATTTTTTAAGTATGTATCTATATGTATAGAAGCAACTTCCAGCAAAACAAAAGTATCTTGCGTAAACTTTCCTTTTTGTAGTTTCTGCTAAGATGTCTCATTTTTATCCTCCTCTTCCCAATGTCCTATAATCAGGAGGAGCATGTATAAAACAATATTATAATACTGATGCACACAGCAGTAAAGCTACATGAATACAGCCTAAGAAGAAGAGTTTGCAAACAGTGCAGTAAAATGCTCAGAGTACCTGCTTTTTGTAATATTAACAAACTGTTGGGATTTATTTTAGGTATGGAAGTTGAAGACAACTGTACCACCACCCACAATATAAAATGCAGGTGTAAACGTGGTTATTTTTGCATTGCTGAACAATGTGCAAAGTATTGTGAACCATGTGACAAGTAAGTTTTAGGCCTGTATTATTTCATCAGTTTACTACATAAGATCATGTTCTGGGCAGAGGCAGTTTTTAAGTTAGCTTCAGTGGCACATCTAAGGCACTGTCTAGGATGGTAGAAAGGTGTTTGCTTTTCAAATGATTTAGCTTACAGAACTAGTTCATCTATGTTGAAAGTCCCATCTAATATAGTAAAGCACACTGTACTTCATTTTGGTGGTCAAGTTATAGTTTACTGAGTTTTTCAGTGATGTAAAGCTAGTTTATTTAATTCAATGAAAACAAGCCTTTTTCTTTAAGTCTCCACAAGGTTTACAACTGTGCCAGGTTCAATTTGAATTCGGTTTCTACAACCACATGGGCACATATGCATCTGCGTGCAGATTCTGAGGCTATTTTAATCATTTCCACTTTGAATTTTTTGAAGCTTGCCTTTGTTTGTGTGTACTCCATTAGCGTGAACAGAGGACTGTTTCAAGTTAGCAAGTTACAAAGGAGCAGACTAGTTGGCTGAGGTAATCACTCTGATAATGATTTTAAGTAGTAGATAAGGAGTTAAGTAGAGTAAAGCACCCATCACACCTTATGTGTCCATGAAAATGAATGTGCAGTCTGTAAATAAAAATATTCTTAACATAATTTACACTATGACTCATGACTAGGAACTGAACAAAAACCCACAGAGAATTCGCAGCATTGAAAAACTGAGAGGCTCCTTCATTAATTTCAAAATTCTTAATACCAACATATATTAAAGAGCAGGATGGTAAGAATAGATGAACGTAGTGACTGCTTCACCCTCTTGACAGACTGCATTGTTTTTCTACCTTTCCTATGAAAAAACATTAATATTAGCTATTCAAATTTCTGTAGGTGTGAAAATGGCATTGCCGTACACTGCACCCCAACCTCAAATACTGTATGTAAAGGTATGTAAAGGTAATTTTTAAAACTCCTGTGTATCTGATGGTAGAATGCAGCTATATGGAAGGGGCCACTCTGGCCAATAAGCAAATGTCCACATTGGAGGCAGCATGGAGCTGAACCACTTGACAATGCACAAAGTGGAAGAACATGGACACTGCTTCTGGCTGACGGTGTAGAAGGAGAACAATCATATGCCCCTTTTAAAGTGGTGTATGGCAAATGAGCCACTAGCCTGGAGCAGGAGAGAAAAGAAACCATTTCTTGTCTTTCCCCTGCACAGTAACTTGAGAAGTGGCAGGGGAAGGCTCCCTGCATCTCTCTGCTCACTCACCCACAAAAGGACTTCCCTCAGTCAGGCCTTCTTGATCCTGTGTAAAGTTTGAAGTGTCTTGTTATACAATGATCTGCTTCTGTTTGTTACCTTCATGAAAATTTTCTGATGGTCTTTATTATAAGGAAACTTTTGGTGGACGTTGTCAGCACTTATACTACTGCTGCCATTGGCTGGAATGCTGTACTACTGCTTTTGGCGTAAGTCTCTTTTCTTACACTGAACTGAATCTGAATTGCTTAAAATTAAATGTTATCAGGTATCATTCCTGAACTGATACAATTCCTGAACTCTGTGCCAGTTTTTAAAGGTCTCTGAATTTGTGTTTTTCAGACAGGAAGAATTACAAGAACTTGAATATTAACCAGCAGTATTCAAAGAATGTGACAGAGGTAAGTATCACTACTTAGCATGGGTGAAATTCAACACAGTCCAGGTTGCTAATATGAGACCATCTGCCTCAGCTAACTCTACTCTGGAGTATTACAGACTGTTGACACTAGAAAGGAAGAAAATTAACTCTTTTTGAGTTAATGAGATTACCTGTTAAAAATGAGTTAATGAGCTTCCTTTTTTAAAGACATGTGCTTCCTTAGGATGCACAGACTAGCAATGCATTCCCTGCAGCTGAGGATACCATGTCATCCTAATGTCACCCTTTCTGCTTCCTCAGCTAATTTAAGGGTGGAAACAGACAACACCAGACATTTCGTTTCTACCACCAGAAAAAAAAATTCATAGCACAAATGGTGAGCAAATAGACATTGCTACCCATTGTCACACCACATCAAAGAAAAATCAATGGCACAATAGGTAGTAATAGACTCTGCCACTTCATTACAGACGTCTGTTAGCTCTGTGGTAGGAGAATAGAGCAGCCTGAGCTGTTCCTACTCTTTAGTCATCAGGGCTAGAGACAAATATTCAAAAAGCTTGGGCTTGAATTGATTAAATCTTTGCAGGTTAGTCTAACCTGGCTAGGCTAAATCAGTTTTGTAACCAGACAGACATCCCAGAAATGCAGGCACATGCCTGCAGTGGCTCAGGCTAGAAGCTGGAGGGCACTAGAGCAGCCTTTCCTTCCCTTGCACAAAGATGAGCTGAGCCGGGCATGGCCAGGCCCCAGCAAGATGCTGTGATTAGGGAGGGTTCCCCCCACCCCCTCCCAAACAGCCCAGCGGGGAATGTTTATCACCCGTACGTAACTCAGTGTTTATCAACCCATAAAAAACCAGAGGGATGTTACCAGCTCCCTGTCGATTCTTCCTTTGTTCCATGTGTCACAGCTCCCCAATATGTGGGCTGCTAACTAATGTGAGGGACGGGGAATGCCTGCATAGCAGAAGGGGGTAGGGGGGGAGGCAGAAGCCAGGCACATGCCTGGAGAGACTCCAGCCAGGGAGCAGAGGGGAGAGGCCAGCCATGCTGTGGAGCAGAGAGCCCCGTCCAGTCCAAAGAGCATGCCAGGATGCTAAGGGAGTCTGGTTTAATTTAAACCAGCAAGGGGCCCAGGACAAACACTGCATAAACTGGTCTGAGCCAAATCAGTTAAGTCTGATACTACATTCAACCAGGTTTATCTCAAACTGCTTTATATGCACTGAACAACTGTTTTGTTACAGGTTTAAACCAGTTTCTGATCACTTAAACCAGTTTGTGTGTAATATCTGTCCCTAGCCCAAGGGGCAGGTGCTCTGGGGGTTTGTGGACCCCACAAGCACCTGCCTAGTTTCCTGCTTACAGAGAGGCACCCCAGGGAATAGGAGTTCCTGCTCAGTCAGACCCATTCCCCCAGGATCATTGTGGAGCAAGTCTAGCTGAGCAAGAAAATCCCTGCTCCATGAAGGGTGGGATAAGGGGCAATGTGTGTTTTGCCCAATGAAGCAAATCAGCTGTGCTGCAAAACATTATCTAATGAAAGAAAAAGGATAGCATAAGCGAGAAAAACTGCAAAAGGTCTCATTAATACTTATTTCTGTCCTTATTTTCAGGAAGAGAACCCTCTGCTGTATACAGGTATGAAATAGACATTATACTTTCTAAGAGTTTTGAAAAAATGATGTAGAAATATATGCTAAAGTTTAACACCAGGTCAGTCTCTTATTTTTCTAACAGCTGTTGCTCCTGGGTGATATGCAACTCATCTATTAATAAACATGAGCTCATGCACTCTTTGCTTGGACACAGCTCCCACTGGTTTTAAATTAGTCTCAACCCCAGCACTGTTTTCAGAATGGGAAAGGAAATGGAGGGAGTTTGGTCTGGGGTTTTTTTCAGGTGGTGCTGGAGGGCGGGTTGTGTGGATTGGAGTCCCCCTGAGGTGGGGGCCTCTGATCCCCCCACCCCACCCTCCAGCACCAGGTGGACAACCCCTAGAATGAGCTCCTTCAGCTCCCCTTCCCCTCCCACTCTGAAAACAGTATCAGGACTGGAAGGAAGGAGGGGCATTGCTAAGTGAAACCAGCTGCAGGCTTGCAGTCAGCATCTGGATTCCCCAGCCCTCAGGACCCTAGAGCAAACTTATGTTGGATCCAGGGGATCATTCTAACTCAGGGCACTTCCTGCAAAGTGCCATGAGTTACAATGGGGAGCTGCACTTCTGTCTGCGTCTTAAAAGTTCTGCCTCAGTAGGGACTGCATGCCATCTACTAACTGACCAGGGCTTGTGGACATCTTTTCTTAGACCAACAAGATTTTTGCAAAAATCTACTAGCTGATGCATGAGAAGAGGAGTTAGTGACAGGCAAAACTCAACTCCGCTTGGAGCAGCCTTGTGAACTTAGGCAAACTTCTGGAGACTTCATCTTAAAAAATGGATGAAAAGACCCACTATTATTTCAATAAATACATTAACAAGCTGGTTGCCATGTGCAACCAGGAGCTGATGTGTCCCACTTTCACACATTATAGGACTTCTAAGCCAGAGGTGTTCACACTGTATTATAGATGACATAGTAAGATGACTTGGAGCCCTGGAGATAAGCTTTGGGACATTAGTAACTGGGACATCATAAGCTGGAAACTAGTGAGGAAAGTATCATCATGGAGTGGTTCATATCACAGCTCTGATATATGAGAGTGCTTATCTGTTTAATAGGACTTCACAAACATGAAGTAGAAAAGTAACGGAGAAGGAGGTGCTACAGAAAGAGTTAAGGTTTATAGGACATTACAGAAAAGGAAAATGGAAGCATCCCTGGGCATTTAGATTTCCTAATATGAAAGTGTAACAAGCAAAGGTATTCCTAATCTGAATGCCATTGCTTAAAAACAAGCAAACAATAAAAACTAGACTCACTCTCTCTATTTGAGGCTTCAAATTCTTCTGTTATGAAGTACTTTTAAAATGAAAAAGAGTAGTAAAATACTAATGCCATTTTTTAAAAATTTTCATTTTTTGTGTGTATTTCCAGATATTGACTTGAGCCCCCACATTTCTAGTATTGCAGAGGGGATGACATTACCCCAAGTCAAAACGTTTGTTCGGAAGCATCAATTAACAGAACCAACCATAGAGCGAGTCATTCAGGACAACCAGAATGATACAGCTGAGCAGAAAATTAAATTGCTCCTGAGCTGGTATGAAGCCCATGGAATGAAGGGGGCACACAGAACTTTGATCAGCAGCTTGAGAGAACTCAAAATGTGTGCTGTTGCTGATAGCATTGAGGAAAAACTGAAGTCAGTTGTTTCCAGCATCCAGGAAAACAACAGATCAAATAATGGAACTAATGAGCAAAGCAGGGCCCATTCTTATGGAGATTCAGTGCCATAACGTTGAATCGACAGGAAGCTATTTCTGAATGAACTAAATTTTTTCTTAATGTTGTAGATATCAGAAAGCTTTCAGATGTCATTTCTTTGAACAAATTCTGGATACAAAGAAGGTGTATAGGTAAGCATAAGCAACAGGCCTAATTATTGGGGAGGTATTTACTCAAAAATTCTGAAACATTTCTACTGTTTGCTAAGATCTAGGAATAGAAATCCTGGGATTATGCACAAACAGTTCTACCTACGAACTTACTGTTCATTTTACATCTATCCTACTAGCAGGAAAATGGTGTAAATGGCATTAGAGGAACTGGAGATTACAAGCAGTGTCCACAGAGGGTGGCTAAATGAACTGCTTGCAGTCACCCATGAAGTAAGCAGCACATGAGGGAATGGAGCCTGGGCTGCTTTGGTTCTACAACAGTACCTAACCGACTAGGCCATCCATTGGTAACGTGTAGAGGGTGCACGTGCATGCAGGTGCACCCCCTGAGACGGTGGAGCACCCCCTAAGAGAAGCCCTGCCAATGCTGCTGGCAGTGCCTGCAGGCAGTCGCTGCTCGCCACCCTTTCCCCCCTCTGCTGAAATAACTGCAGCTGCCTGTAGGAGCTCCTCACTCAGCGTGTCCCCGCTGCCGCCACGGCTGCCTACAAGAGCTCCCCGCTCCCCATCACCACACCCCCACCGCCACCACCTCCTGCAGGTGGTCACTGTGCCCCTCCAGCCTTTGGGAGCACGTGTTGTTCATGAGGCCATCCCAGAATCTGACCTGCTTTTGCTAGAAAAATCAACCAGTAGTAGAATGAAAACCTACTTCAGGATCGATGGCCATGGTATATTTATGCTACACTCATGTTTTAAATAGTTTTCCTTACTAGTCTTATGTTTCAGTTCTCTAACAAAACACCAGAATTTAAGAATATTTTTAGCTAAAAAACTTGCATTCAGCAGTGATCGCTATGATCCGTTCAGGTTTCAAATCCACCCATGTGAACTGGGAATGTGACCTGTATTTCTGAAAGACAGGACCAGGTCCACAATTTTTAAAGTTTTATCTATACCAGCTGGGAATCCTCCAAGATTCGGTTGTATGACTAGCTTTTCTACTGCAAAAGAAACTAAAATACAAACAGTAATAAAAGACATCATTAAAAAAGCATATATTTCTTTCCTTCTTTTCCTTTGTATCATGTGGTCTACAAATCTTACAAATGTCATAGTCTCAGGGTCAGTACATCACAAAAGCAGTGAGTGTGATCTCCATCCAACTGAAAAAAAGCCTGTTTCCATCTGAGGACCACACAAAGCCCAGGCCCCTGTGCCCCAGGCCAGTCTAGTTAGCAAGGTGGGGTCTGATGTCAGGTTTATCTTCCTCCAAAAAACTCCAGTGTTCTACTCAATGGCATGGAAAATGTATTTAAACCTGTTGACATCTAAATTTCCTATGCCAGTTCTTTTTCACCCTCTCCTGTACAATTGGAGGCATCCAATTGTTCTAAAGCGGTGAAGTGTGTACATTGGGAGCACTGCAATCACAACAATTAATTAATAACCTTAATTTTCCTGTCTCCAGGGTTAGGGACTGAAGTTACACATAAACCAATTTAAGTGATCAGAAACTAGTTTAAACCTGTAACAAAACAAAACTTCAGTGCACATAATATGGTTTCAAAATGACCAAAACTGATTTAAGATAAACCTGGTTGAATGCAGTATCAGACTTAACTGATTTGGGTCAAACCGGTTTATGCAACTTCTGTCCCAGACCCCTTCCTGGCTTAAGTTAAACCAAACCAGAGTCCCCCAGGATCCCAGCATGCTCCTCAGCCCTGGGCTGGGCTGTGCTCTTTGCTCCTGAGTAGGGCTGGCCCCTCCCCTCTGCTCTCTAGCTGGGGGTGGGGGCTTGGCCAGATGCTAGCCAGCCTGGCCCCTGGAGGCAAAGGGAGCAGGGAAGGGGTTTATTACCCATCTCCTCTCTCCCACCGAGGGACCACGGCTGAGGTCTGCCTGACCGGGGTATAACAGCCCATCAGGCATTCAGCCTCCATAGCACCATCTGACTGCCCCACCCACAGCTGTGGGGCTGGGGCTGAGGGGCAGAGCCGGGCCAACGTGCAGGGACTGCTGAGGGCAGATGCGCAGAGGCCAGCCCAACACACGGAGCTGGAGCCAGAGCTCCAGGCACTGGGCAGAAACTAATTGGCTAACGCGATGCTGCATGGTGGGACAGGAGCCACAGCTGGAGGTGAGGGGAGTACAACAGCCCTGCTGGGCCCAGCCAGCGCACAGCTTCCCTCACCTCCAGCAGCTCCTCCCCCTCCCCCTCCCGTCCCTGCTGCACTGCTCCGGGCAACACGGGTGGGAGATGTAGCTTTAGCCTGGCAGCTTCTGCTTAGAGCATAGAGATCTGGCTCCAGCTCCAGCTGCTTTCCACCCACCCACTCATCCACCCCTGCAGGGGCTACTTATCAGGCTGGGCAGGTGAAGAAAGGCAGATGGAGCTGACGTTAGAGCTCCATACTCTGGGTTGAAGCAACCCCCGCTCCACGGGGAGCAGTGCAGCAGGGACAGGAGGGGGAGTGGCCGCTGGAGGTGAGGGGAAGGTGCACACTGGCTGGGCTCGGCAGGGCTGTTCTGCTCCCCCCCTCTGTAGCTGCACCTCCTGCTCCTGTCCCTCTGCGCAGCTCTAGGCAAGCTGCTGGGAAGAGGGACACCATGAGACGGGCTGCTGCCATCATGGTCCCTGCCCCTCACCACTCCAGCAGCAGGGGCAGAGGAGTGGCCAGAGGCCAGCCGGCATGGCCCTCTTAGGAGAGGTGTTATTTCCCACTTTCCTCCAACATCTGGCAGAGGGGGCAGGGAAGGAGCTTATCCCGCTGCTTGCCCCATGCAGGGAGCGATCAGCAGTGGCAGTCGGGGCTGGCAGACCCCGGCTGCAGCCCCCAAAGGCAGAGGAGGGAATAAAACTCCTCCCTGCCTGCCCCAGGGGCCATGCTGGCCAGCACCTTGGTGCACACCCCCCCCACTGCAGCACAAGGCAGACCCCAGCTTGGGTCCATGCGAGTAGGACAGGCAGGGCAGGAATTAAACCACTTCCCTGGCCAGTTCACCTGAGGCTACTGCCAGGGCTGGCCACAACTTTCCTGCAGCTGAGGGACCCTCTAGAGCCCCCCAGCTTCTGGTCTGAGCCACTGCGGGCATGTATCTGCATTTCCTAAATGTCTATTCACTTGCAAACTGGTTCAGTGTACATGTACACAGGTTAGACTAACTTGCAAAGATTGAATCAATTCAGGCTCTGGCTTTTTGAATGTCTGCCCCTAGCCCAGGAGCTGCTGACTTCAAAAAAAAAGAAAAGCACCTATGGTGTGCATTTGTGAAAGGGACTGTCCCTACAGATTATGACTTCACTGGAAGGGGATTTTACTGATTAGGGAAGTCAGGGACCAACCAGCTTTCCTTCTCTGTTCACTGACACTACATGACTCATTGGTGATCTCATGACATGTTCAGACTTGCTCTCATCCTCATGGCTGAGCTGTGCAGGTCATGTTTTTTTTGGGGGGGTGTTAATATAAAAAAACTGCTAAAACACGGTGAGATAGATTAGCCATGCACAGTGCACTTCATGACAGTGTTCAGATTGCTCCTAATGGCTGCTCTTTGATTCATCAAAAATAATGAACCTGCATCTCCACTGTTCAGCAGCCTGAGCAAACTGCAAACTGCTTATGAATCGCTTGCCCATGTGCAAATGACAACACAAATGTTAGGCAGGGGAAAACCAGGTGCTGTGAATCAACACAGGAGTTATCATTGCTCAGATCTGTATGAGGTGGTTGCTACCAAAAAAAACCAACAGTAAATCTTACATACCCTGAAAGTGTTGTAATGGCAAAACTTGACTTGATTTGAGAACCTGATTAATACCAGCTTTGTGTTGAAACAGCTACATTAAAGAAGAGAAGCAGAACTAACAGTAAATTGCAGTTCAGTTTTCAGTCTTTCGTAGCTCTGTCTAAGAAGACTGTACAGCAATGAAGGCTGCAGGTAACTTTCTTGTTTCCAGAAGCAGCTATGGGAGAGCCAAGGTGCGGTATAGGACATACAGTGCTTTTTAAATGTCAAATGGAACAGGAAGATCAATAGTTTCGAACTATCTTCTGAAAAGCCTGGAGCCCTCAGCCCTCCCAGCAGCCTGTTCATTTGAAGTGGCCCATATTGGCCACTTCATTCAGCATACTGAATAAGGGTTGTCAACAGGTTTCCAACATCTCTATCTCTTGCCTTTCAAGAGAAAAGAAACAAACTACATCTCTACAGGTTGGACCTGTTGGAGAATGATGACCTAATTTCTGTGCTGCATTCATTACACTTGCAGGAGAATTTCTGAGCTGAACTACAGAGTTGACTACAGTAATAATACTACATAAATTACTAGCAATAAGGTAAGCCAAATTTCCTGTTTGCCTGTGCTCTCTATTACAGATTTGGGTGGTGTGCTGCATGCTGTTCCACCTTACTCCCCTGACAGGCTGGGGATAGACTGACCCCCTGGTGAATTCCCCAGCACCATGGCCATATAAAGCTCACCAAATCTACCCAATGCAGCCTGTCTGTGCAGCCAGCCACAGAAAGGAGGGCAAGTGTTGTGAGTTAGTGTGCCTGATAACTATGCAAGACAGTCAGGAAGGCACAACATGGCTTAAAAGTATGGACGCATTCCTGCAGCTTCATGTTAGACTCCTGAATTCATGCCTAGAGCAGTTCAGTACTGAACAAGACATCTTGATGTCAAACAGGGGCTGCTCATTTATCAAGGTCCCAGGAGATCTGAAAGCCTTAAACAGAGGGGACTTAAAATGAAGGCGTCAATATTCTTACATTTGGAGCAATGAAATCTAATGGGGAATTTTGTTTAGATGTCATGGGATTCCCCAACATAGGGCTGTAAGACAAACTGTTTGAAATAAAAAAAAAAAAATCCCCTGAATAGTGAGTCATATTTTCCCTGAGATGTTTCCAAATCTGTACCCAGATTACTAGTAAACCTGGCAGTTATGCTTTTTTATTTTGTTAAGCCAAAACCTAATGCTTTCACAAATGAACAGAGAGTGGGGCTAAGACTTGGTTTTTTCATAGCAAAGTGTCCATGCTGCAGACTGTGGTAAAACACAGAAGTTCTCAGACTAGCAATGTGCAGGACAGAGGCCCAGACCTGCCAGAGACTTGGAGAATCTATTATTATCGCTTCAGGGCTCAGTTTGTGCAGCTGCATCAATGAAGTGCTGCAAGTGGCCTAATTAGCTCACCCTCTCAGCAGGGAGGGTTTAGCCACGTGCAGCTGTAGCTGCAAACTGATAATTCACCTCTGCTAAGACACAAAGCAACTCTGCCACTTTGATGTCTCCAGTTCAGGAGTTCAAACGCAAAAGCAGCAGTGTTCACACTGCACCAGACATCTCTTTGCTGTGTGCTTGCAGCACGGCGCTGGCTGGCACTACAGCAACCGTAGGAGGAACAGCAACCGTAGGAGGAACTGGCCACTTCTAGACCCAATCTCAATTTCCAGAGAAGAATCCATTTTATAGGCTCTTTGGGGATACCGCTCCAAAACTCAGGATTCTCTTGGAAAATTTGGTAGTTTTGGTTGCTATAGGTATCTGCATACAACACCATTCCCATTTTGTAGAGATATCCCCCTCAAGCTGCTTTCATCCCAAAGGGTAACGGTAAGATCTTAAGCAGATGGCCAATGCACTTGCCGTGTCTCAGATTTGGTCAGAATACAAGTAAAGACAGAATAGGAAGCTCAAAAAGAAAGGAAGAGAAATGACAGTCTGTTTGGAAATTGAAACATAGGAACTCAGAACACAACGTGTTCAGACTCAGGAAGACAAAACTGAAACTTGCTGTATAAGCATCATCATTTTTATTCTGAAAGACTGTGCTGAAGGCAAGGCTTGACCTGAAGAAAGTGAAACTTTTCAAGGAAAACATAAGTCTGTCCACTCCGGTCACTTCAGAATCCTCCCACATCTCCACTGAAAGCTGCCCCGTGTTAGACAGCAGCACCTTCCATAGGAGCTGAGAAATGAAGATTTCTTTAAGACACTAATCTACAAGAGGTGTTCAAATGTATGTGAGAAGTCAACGTGTGG